AGATGAAAGAAAGTATTTTTCTGCTGTAAAGTAGGAAAGGGATAACTCACCTTTAGAAAACAACTCAAAAAAAAAACAGTTTATCAAGAGGCTGGAGTGTAGAGATTTTCGTAAAATGTTCTTAATCTTGAAATGTCTGGTTACCCTGAAAGTTAATAAATGCACACCAATATGAAAGCCTGGGCTCTAGGTCACAAAATAGTGATAATAATGATAAATCAACACTGGTGTTGATTTACACCTAAACTTGAATAATTTATTTTATGAAATGTGAAAAGAGAGAAATAGTCGGGTTTTTTTATCTATATTTTTATGAAGGGTGATTTTTAGATAAAATATATATGTGCAGTTTCATTAATTTCATACTATAGGCATTCAATTATTTCATTTATATGCATGCTGTTGCTGGATCAATTCCACTCATTTATATCCTTAGAAGCTCATATATTCAATTTGCCACCAAAACTGAAAGCTTTTCACTTTGAAAATTTGAAGCTGGAATTAATATTTTATAAAGGTGATATAAACAGAAAGGATAAGGATGGAATCACGAGAAAAGTTAATAGCTGCAGGGGATACCTGGCAAAAATAGACTGCAGTTAACCCAGAAAAGGATTATTTTATATTTCTCTTCATAACTTAAACTTGAAACCTACATAGTTGTAAATAATTGTTTGTAATAACATATTGAAATGTGTATTTATGTAGGTTACTTTATACTTTCAAATTGTTTGAAAATTGAAATGCTATGCGTAGCCCTAAGCCCTAGAATCATTAAAATATGTATTAAGCACCTAAATATTTGTGTAAAATCAATATATATGTCCATCTTCAAGACTCAAAACCAAGGTCTGAGTAGTGTCTGGCCTCACCTGCCTGTGCTTGGGTGCACACTGCAGGTGAGAGTAGGATTCATAAATTCCAAGGAAGAAAAGGAGTGTCTGCATTTCCGAACTCACATCAGTCCTCACTATTGGCCTGTCTGTAACAACTTTGCAGTGCAGTGAGCACTGAAGTACTGGTTTTATCTGGAATGGTCCAGAACAAAAATTACAGGCAGTGTTCTTTCTAATGTTAATGTGTGGCGTTATTTAGTTGCCTTATTGAATACAGACACATACTTTTAAAAAAATTTACTCCAAACTAAACTCACTGCCATTCAGTTGAGGCTGACTCATAGTGACCCTATCAGACAGGGTAGAGCTGCCCCTGTGAGTTTCCTAGATTGTGAAGGGGAGTAGAAGGCCCATCTTTCTCCCTAGAAGCAGCGGGTGGTTTCAAATTGCTGACCTTGCTGTTAACATCCCAAGCACAATCTCTATGCCACCAGGGTTCCTTTTAATTTATTTGCTTAAGCCAGTTAGTAAAATTAGAGCATTACTAAAAAGTCAAGAACATGATTTCAGGTCTTAAGTGCGCAAATTAACAACGTATTCCAAGGTCACAAGCTAGTTTATAAAAAATAAAATGCATTAAAAGGAACCTGGCAAGTCTTTATACAATTCACCAAATCCATCATCATCATCATTATATGTCCTTCTGACAGCATCCTTAAATAAGGAGTAAATTCATAAATAAAATCTGAGAGTAAATACAATGAAGTTTGATGCCTTTTTTTAAAAAACATTTTATTAGGGGCTCATACAACTGTTATCGCAATCCATACACACATCAGTTGTGTAAAGCGCATTTGTATATCATTCTCAAAACATTTTCTCTCCACTTAAACCCCCGACATTAGGTCCTCATTTTTCCCCTCCCTCCCCGCTCCCCCCTCCCTCATGAGCCCTTGATAGTTTATAAATTGGTATTTTGTCATATCTTGACCTGTCTGACGTCTCCCTTCACCCACTTTTCGGTTGTCTGCCCCCCAGGGAGAAGGTCACATATAGTTCCTTGTAATCGGTTCCCTCTTTCCTACCCATTCTCCCTTTACCCTCCCTGTTTTGCCACTCACACCACTGGTCCTATAGGGCTCATCCACCCTGGATTCCCTGTATTTTCAGTTCCTATCTGTACCAGTGTACCTCCTCTGGATGTTTTGTTGGTTTTTAAGGAAGAGTATAATTTGTTTCTTTGTTAATAGTTTTAAATATAAAGGAATACCCTTTGGAAGTTGAGAATATTTATTGCTTACACATACAGAACCCAGAGAAATGTTTCTTTGTGCCTAGGACTCCAGACGCACACCTCCTCAGCACCGTTCTGGATGTCTCCCTGTGAACACACATTTTTCTTACCACACATTTCTCATATTTCTTTTTTTAAGAAACTTTACGGAGATTTGGAGAACAGATTTATCAGATGTTTAAAAGTCGTAAAGTTAGTCTACTGAACTTTTTTTCCCCACTTATGTCTGGTTATTATCATCATCATTTCTATATTTTCTCTTCACAGGGCTTCATTACTTCAAAAATGTTGTGCTGGTGGGATCGCTACAGGATCGCTATGTTCCTTATCACTCTGCCCGCATTGAGATGTGTAAAACAGCATTAAAGGACAAACAGTCAGGTAGCCAAGTAAATTAGAAACATTTTGAAAAGTTATATCTGAACATGAGCTTTTCCCAAGATTTTTCTTAACTTGCTATCCCACTCCATTCTCAGCATCCTCTTTTCTTTTACTTCCTTTTTTTCCACTACATGTTTGATGACAAACCTTTAAGATCCCAGACAAGTGTTCTTTCTGATAATTGAACACCATCTAGTTCCTTCGCCACACTTTGCTAAAGCACCCATCTCTTCAGTGATCTTGTCATGAGGGCAAGAATCAAGCAGGGTTTCGTGTCATTGAGAACTAATTGTGCTTAGATTAGGGCTAGAATTAAGTGCAAGCCCAAAGTCCGTAATGAGATTACATTTAAACAAATTTTTGAACCTTTGCTTTTTCTAGCCTGTGGCTTAAGCAAGTTCTTAAGACAGAGACTCTTTTATACACATATTGTTTTGGCACTGCCTATCTGATATATGGCATAATAGGTATTCCATTCATTTAGCAAATATTTACAGAGCATTTGTGACATCTTTTGCTTCTGTTGTGCTAAGGTTAGAAATTCAGAGGAAGTTTAACCTTCAAATGGGTTGCAGAAATTTGATAACAGTGAGATTCTATGCCAGTGGGAGGCAGGGGAAATAAAACATGTTTGTGGATGTCTTCCTTAGTAAATATATTTTAAAAACTAGCATGGAACCAGAAATCTAATTTGACTCACAAAGAAAACGAAGTTGGAGTCAATAGTTGTCTTGAATTTGTGTGATGTTTATCTTTTTAACATTTTCATAATCTTTTATTGTACTTCTACTATATTATCCCTTGTCATAATTCTCTGAAATTTAATTCCCACCTTCCTAAAACTCTTGTTTCCATAGATATGTGTCAGCACTAATAGATTAGTAGTCCACTAACCCAAACCCATTGCCATCAAGCTGATTTTGACTCATAGCAACCCGCAGGCTTCCAAGACTAAATCTTTTAAGAAGCTAGCAGACTTATTTTCTCCCATGGAGTAGCTGGTGGCATTGAACTGCCAACCTTGCAATCCATTGCATAACTTAACAATGCTTCCAGGGGCAATGTGTGGCCTCTGATAAAGCCGTTTGTACAGTGTGTGTGTTTTCCAAAAGTTCATAGGAAAATTCCATAATCTCTTTATTATATCTCTCCATAAACTTGTTGAAGCCTCTAATGTGTGTGTACATGTATTTTTTACATATTTCTCTTTTATGATGAGATTGTCCTCATTAAATCTATTAATAAAAGTTAACTAAAAAGAGAAAAAGGAGTATAAGTTTTAACTAACGGCAGAAATAAGCACTGAGCAAACCTTCTAAGACCAAAAGGAGGATCCTGTTTGTCCTTTGAGTGAAACTCAGAACTTTAAGAAGTTGTTTATTCTTTCTCAAGATAATTTGAAAATACTGACTACTGGAAAAAACATTTTCTTAAAGTACCTTTTATAAGCTTTAAATTTGGCAATATTGAAGTGCCTCATAAGGCACTTAACATTGCAGACTATTGCCTTGTTATATGTGTTACTTTGGACCAAAAATATCAAATTGGCAAGATTTACGTAGTATATAGAAAATTTATTATTTTATTCGACTAGATAAACATTCTGATTCTTATATTTTCCATTAAACAATCCCAATAGTGAGTGTCAAAGAAAAATAAAACTAGTAAAATACGTTTTCTGTTTAAATAGAAATATTAACTAAATTTTATAAATAATTCAAAACTGAGAACAGAATTTTTCGTGCATGTTACTGATGTGAACTAATTTTCTCTGTCTTTTTTCCCCCCTTCTTTTTCCTATTTTTTCCATAGGACAATTCTATTCTGAAATGATTCATAACTTATTACACCCAGTTCTGCAAAGCAAGGACTGTAATTTGGTTCGATATAATATCATCAATACCTTACCCAATACAGCTGATTCACTCATTGGAAGAGCTGCACATATAGCTGTTCTTGACTCAGAAATATTTTTAGAAAAGTTCTTTTTGGTTGCTGCCCTGAAATATTTCCAGTAGGATAAAAACATTGTTAGAGACTTGACAATTACCTCATTCAACAATGATTCAAATAATGTATTATATTAAACTATAGATGCTGATGACTTCTAAGAAATATTTATACCTTTTTATATGGAAGATAATTTATATCATCCATGTTTAGAGCTTTGTAAAACATCAACAACTTTACTTTCTGGGTAATGTGGCTGTGCAATATTTTTTTAATTTTATCTTTTTACTTTTCTATTACTTTTTCACATATTTTGCTACCAAAATATTTCAATGAAACATTAAACCCACATACATCTCATTATTGACTTCCCACACAGTTCTCACCTATTAGAGGCCATTATTGCTAGAATAGCCTGGGATTTTGAATTTTCTATTTGGTATTTAGTTAATTATAAGGTTTACTTTTTCGCATTTTAGTATATTCTAACTGGAAATAAAATTGTGACTGCTAAAATATATTTTTTGAAATCAACTTCTATAGCTCTAAAATACATCTTTATCATATGATCAAACCAGGTAGTTCATATATGACAATGTTATAAACGTTTTCTATGAAGTCTTTATTTTTACTATTAAACATGTCATACCTATTAAAATCTATTTTCTACTGGTGATTACAACATTGTTTCTCATATTGACTTTTATTACTGGAACTCTTCATGTTAGTAGCACATAAAGGTTTTTGAATGTTTGAATGCCCTCTGCTATGATTTGGTTGGAAATTTGCTAAACTTGGAAGCATTGCTTGGGTTTTCAGACTACATTTCTTTAACTTTTTTCATGAGCTTCCCTGTATGTATATATAACAGTTGTTGAAATGTCTGAAATACTTTTATGAATTTAGATAATTTTTAAATATTGTTAAATTTTATTGAACTGAAATAATGTAAATAAAGAGTTCATGTGAAAAATGCAACAAAATGATTAACTTTACATGTTTGATGATAAAGATGCAGAAGTTTTTGATCTATTGAGATGAGTCTTTTGACTTTACTAAAGGTGCTGAATAGCATTAAATTCACTATTTTCCTTTCCTCTTTTCACTAGTGAAGTAATAATGCACTAATGGTGGCTAGAAGGTTCTCTGGACCGATGTTTTTTGTAAATATGTATTGTATAATTGATGCATGTTTATTTTTAGCATTGTGTTATTGCCTCCGATGTTAATAAATGAACAATTGGTTATCTAGAGGAGCACCAAAACGGTTTCAGGCCATTATTTACTTTGAGAATACTAGGGGCATATATTTCTATTTATAATTTAAGTATATCAATTAAGTATAGATCAGTGTGGTTATGTAACTGTTAAGTGATATAAAGTACTTTTATAATTTGCTTTTGTATGTATCAGATAATCAAAATATATTTCTTTTTGGTAGGGCTCCATAATTCTCAACTTTTGAAAATACTTCAAAATTCTATAAATTAATTGAGCAAAAGTATACCAAGTGCATTAAAACTGGAAAATGTTAAATATGTGCATTATTCACACACATTTTTCCTTAAGTATTCATCTTTCATTTTGTATCTTTACTTAGCTTGACATGCCGAGTTTGAAATATCATGTGTAGTCTACATTTGGATAGTCATTTAGGTTTATGAAAGGAGTCATTCCTTTTCAATTGTGTAACTAGTAAAATAGGATTTAAAGGCCTTTTTGGTAAGCATTGGACTACTAACCACAGAAGTCAGTCCTTCGAACCCACCAGTTACTCTCATAAATACGTATAGCCTTGGAAACTCTGTGAAGTCTTACTTAGAGGTGGAATCCACTCACTGGCAGTGGGTTTGGGTTGTGGATGGCTATACAATCAAGTTGGTTGCTTGTTGTTTTAATGCCATCTTAAAAAGCATATCAGTTATCGTGGTTAAGCTAAATAGATTTAACTTCTGAATTACCTCTTCACCTACAAATTTAGGTGGGGTTGAGAGAGAATGATAATCGAAAGCAATAGGATTAATCTCATTGAAATACATACAAGAACTCTTCTTGGTTGTAAACAGCAGAAAGCAATTCATTAGCCAGAAAAAGACATTATTGAAAGAATATTAGATAACTCATAGACTTGGTGGAAAGATAGGAGAACTAGGTTTGGAACACAGAAATCAAAGAAAACTAGATAATCAAAATCATAGCCATGGCACTCTCAAGAAGACCTAGAAGTTTGTGTATATTTCTCCTGGCACTGATGCCTCTGGAAATCAGATTCCAAACACTGGTATTTGGATCGGTTATTCCAAATTCAGAAGCTAATGAGACTGTCCAACTGACCAGCCTTTTATTTGTCCCAGTACTTGGGTAATGAGACACCAGAGACAACAGATCTGATCTTCTCAGCTTCCACAGTGGGGCCTTTTTTCTTACCAAGATTCCAGAATCATATAAAATGGGTTTGATGACTATGTAGCAAATATAAAAATGTCAGAAGTCTACCTCCTTCCAACCCAACTCCAGTCCTCTGCGTGATATCTGTTTTTCCTCTGGTACTGTAATCTTGTCTCAGTTTATAAACTGGAGACAAATTGTGTGTGATCTAACAACCATCTCCTTATAGCGTAGAGGTTTAAGATAGGAAACAAAATAGAAATTAATTATACAAAAGTATGTCAGGGAGTATTACTGTGAAATCATAGAAACCTATTACACAAAAATATCAATGTGTGCAGCTTTTGCTTCTCAGCAAAGCCTCTATCTTGGGTCATATACCTCTCTCATCCTTCCCCAATATTCCTCTCTCATCCTTCTGACAACACTCCTGATTCATACCACAGCAAGGACCCCTCACAGGACTCAAAGCATGCCTCTTGAAAAGGTTCTTTTTGAGTTTGAGAACAAAAAAGTTTGAAGGAACGGGGGCTATTGGATATGTGGGTAGGATTTGCCAACAATTCTCACAGGACAGCTACCCTTAAAGAATAAGGTGCATTGTTGCAATGAAAGAAAATGACCTCTATGCAAATGTCCTGACCTTTCACTCAGCCATGCAGATTTTGATTTTCTTAAAACTTCATCATAAGCCCCAGTCCAACTGAATCAGTCTCCAGGATAGGATGTGAGTTGTTTGATGCCATCAAGTTGTTTCCAGCCCGGTAGCCCTATGTGCAAGTATAAACACCCCTCTAATCCTGTGCCATCCTCAACCATTCCTGTGATGTCATTGTTGCTACCACTGTATCAATCCAGCTCATTGACTGTCTTCCTATTTTCTATTGACCCTGTACTTTACCAAACATGATGACTTTTTCTAGGGACTTGACCCTCCTGATAGCATTCATCAAAAGTCTCACCATCCTCCTAACAAACTTTCTGGTTGTACTTATTCCAAGACAATTTGTTCTTTCCAAGTTCATAGTATATTTACCAAGGCCATAACTCAGAAGCATCAATTCTTTGATCTTTCTTATTCATCACTAAGCATGTTAGCAAACTTCTCAAAGAAACAGCTATGGCAAACAGAGGCACCCTGTTGGCATGGTAGGTTAAGCTATGGGCTGTTAATTGACAGTTGGCACTGCAAAGCCTCCAGCTGCTCTGTAGGAGAATGATAAAGGAGTCCACTTATATAAGGAGTCCATGTAGAAATAGGATGTTTGGAAACTGGAAGCAAGTGTACAATTAATTCTGCTTGACATTGATATATAAATGAAAATTTCTTTAAAAGACAGCCTCAGAAACCCTATGGAGCAATTCTACTTTGTCCTCTCGGGTCATGAGTCAGAATCATCTCAGTGGATTTGAATTTGGATGGTTAAATATAGCTTTCAGTTCTGCCACTGGTCGTGAGTGAAGAAGACTTGTGATTCATCATCACCACTGCCACTCATTTCTTGTTTCCTTCGTGTTTAAACAGCACCTCTCCTGAGCAGATCCCTGGCCCATGGAACTGGACAGTCTCAGGCATTGGGGGTCTTAATCGATTACTGTGTGCTCAGTTTTTACAATTCAGTGGGAATACTGTGAGCAAGTATTGCAGGAGATCCCCTGAGTTCTTAGCTTACTCCTCCTGACTTCCTCCAGGGAGAAGCACTAACAAGCACTCTGACCACTTTTTAAACCTTAAAGAATGAGCGTCAGATCTAAATTTTGAGAAAACATTGAATCCCGTAGGAGAAGCACTCCTGTTCTAAGGACAAAACTTTCACAGAGACTGGAATCATGAAGGTGTGATGGACGGAAGCGCCCTACAGTGTTGTGCTGACAAGAGACTCCTGGGTAAGAAAGACTTTATTACCACCCGCAGTCGGAGTGTCAGCATAGCTATTGTTCCTGTAGACTCCAGTACCACAGAGCCATGCAAAGGGCCAGGTGGCACCTGTACAATGGTGAGTTGCAGTATAGGAGCACTCCAGGACAAGGAAGTTTTAATCGGCAATTTTAATCAAGCAGCAAACAAACCCAGGAAGCAGCAGTTAAATAATATTGTAATCGTTGCCTTGACCTACTTGGCTGCCTAGATTTCTAGCTATAGAAACTGCTCGGCATCAGAAGGTGGATGAAACTTGCAATCTGGCACTCAGCGATAACATGGTGAAGCGCTGGCAGATTCTCCCCTCGATGGAAAGGCAAAAACATGGACAATATGTCAGAAGTAATAGGCACTGCTCCCCATCTGCTCTCTGGAACCTGATATTCCAGCAATAAGAGATCACCGAACACTGTTAGTTTTGAGCACATGTCAGGTCCTTTAAGACAAGTGCATTTTCCTACCTTGTTCCAAAGCTGCAGTTTCAATA